TTCCTGAGACAGGGTTTCTCTGTGTAGCTTTGAGCTTTGGAGCCTATCCTGGCACTCACTCTGGAGACCAGGCTGGCCTCGAACTCACAGAGATCTGCCTGCCTCTGCCTCCCGAGTGCTGGGATTAAAGGGGTGCGCCACCAATGCGATTAACAGTCTTAGAAGGTTCTTCTGGCTTCTGATGAGAGAGATGGGGCTCAGCCAGGGCTGGATGGGCCTCTCCCGAGAAGGTGTTGACTGGGAATGCCTAGCAGCTGTGAGATCCAGACGCTAGGATTACGTTTGAGAGTTGGCTGTGCTGGAATGGGGCAGAAGGGGTCTCCTGTGGACATGTCACGTACCAGAGGTAGATCAAAGGGACAAACTTCAGTCTAATTAGAAAAACAAGAAGAATGCTAGCCGGCAAGGTGGCTCAGTTGAAGTCTTTGCTCTGCAACCATGAGGAGCTGGGTCCCTAACACACAAAAAGCTGGGCATAGCTGCTGGCATGGGGAATCCCAATGCTGAGGAGACAGAGGCAGGAGGATACCTGGGACTGACTGTCTTGTCTAGACAGTCATTGAGCTCCGGGTTCTGTAAGAGACACATCTACCTAAAAACTAAGGTGACCAATTGAGGAAGGTATCCAACGTCAACCTCTGCTCTCCATGGCACATGCTCTCCATATGTGCGAGCGCGTGCACACACACACACAATATTATCTGGGGGTTTGGGGTATAGTGAGAGTGTTAACCCAAGGAAACTGGGAAATCTTTGGAACTCCAACTGGATCTGGCTGGAAGGTCACAGCGCCTAGGCTGGGCTGTTGGAGTAATCCTGCTTAGAATGAGGGATCTGGAAAGGTGGCTTCTTCCAGAGAGAAAGCTGTAAGGTATTGTTTGTCCGGTTCATATAATTACTTCCGAAGAGACTCATTAGGCCTCTCCTGCATGCTGGGTACAGGGTCCAGTAGGTGTCATGTTTGCACACCCAGCTGTGGGGATAGAGGCAGAAGGAGGCAGGAGAGAGTCCAGTGTTTACTTCCCAGAGAAGGTGACAAGTGAAAATGGGAGAGATAGGAAACAGAGACAAGAGAGGCCCTGGGGTGTGGTTCGGTGGTGAAGTGCTTGCTTAGCTCAAGACCTTGGATTCTATCGGCCGAGAGAGGAAGGGAAGAAGAGAGTAAGTAAGAAAAAGGTAGAGAAGAAACACTGAGGCAGGAGCATACACACAGTGTTCGGGGAATGCGCTGTGCCCAGGCATAACAGACAGCACATACAGGAGGGCAGGGTAGCGCTTTAGACCGGGCGGTGTGAGGAGGCCTCTCTGTGGAGGTGACATTTTTTCTTAATTTATTTTTATTTAAATTAGAAATAAGCCTGATTCACACGTCAGTCCCAGCTCCCTCTCCCCCACCTCCTCTCATGCTCCCTACCAGCCCTCCAACCCTCCACTCCATCCCCCCCTCCGCTCCCCAGGGAGGGTGAGGCCCTCCCTGGAGGATCCCCAAAGTCTGTCATATCATCCGGGGCAGGGCCTAGGTCCTCCCCCGTGTGTCTAGGCTGAGAGAGCATCCCTCCAAGTGGAATGGGCTCCCAAAGTCCATTCGTACACCTGGGATAAATACCGATCTGCTACCAGAGGCCCCACAGATTGCCAAGGCCCCCTCACTGACACCCGCGTTCAGGGGGAGTCTGGATCAGTCCCATGCTGGCCTCTCAGCCATCCGTCTGGGGTCTGTGAGCTCCCCTTTGTTCAGGTCAGCTGTTTCTGTGGGTTTCACCAGCCCGGTGGAGGTGACATCTTGCAAAGCCTTATGAAGGAAGGGCTGAGGGAGGACTGCCCACATGTGACAAACAACAAGAGCAGAGAGACAAGAATTTGCTTGGCACGTTAGAGGGACAGAAGGTCAGTTGGCTGAAGGGGACTAAGGGAGAGGGAAAGTGCAAAAAATAGCCGGGCCAGATTGTACAGAGTCTTGTGCACCACGGGGAGGACTTTGGACCATACTGTCAAAAGGGTGGGAGCCAAAGAGAGGCTGCGTGCCAAGAATGGCCGTGA